TATGACTGCAACTTTAGCAGTTGCAAGGTAGCTGATGGATCAAAAACCAACAGCTCAGATCATTAGAAAATATTGTTCACGAATAGTATGCAATAGTGGCTGTATCGATCCAATGGTTATAATGTGCTATGTTAAAGTTGCAGTGGATCGCGCGGTGATGTTTCTCTAAGAAGACAATTTATTCATGAATTCTCCTATTCCATTCGTCCTAACATACATCTGATTTTGAGTCTTAGAAGAGATTTTTCAGATTTTGCCGTTACTAGAAAAAAAATTTAGATTTCACCGTTACTAAAAAAGATTAGGAGAGAGAAGAGAGGAAATGACGAGATAGAGGAGAAAAATTTAGAAACGAGTGTTGTGCGAGTGTCCAATTTTTTCAGCCAAAGATATATATATATATATATATATATATATATATATAGGGGTAGAAACTCTTCTCCAACATGAGTTGGATAAACATTAAGATTTTCGTGGTACGCTTTTTAAACTACTAAATGGTGCGTTTCGTGTGAAAACTTTCTATATGAAAGTTGCTCTAAAATATCATATTAATCTATTTTTCAAGTTTGTACTCCCTCCATATTTTAATGTATGACGCCGTTGACATTTTGACAAACGTTTGACCTTTCGTCTTATTCAAAAAATTTATGTAATTATAATTTATTTTATTGTGACTTGATTTATCATCAAAAGTTCTTTAAGCATGACATAAGTATTTTTATATTTGCATAAAAATTTCGAATAAGACGAGTGGTCAAACGTTGATTATAAAGTCAACGACGTCATACATTAAAATACAGATGGAGTAATAATTAAAAATCAATAAATCATATGTTAATACCACCTCATTTTACGTAAAAAACTTAATATTCATCTTCAGGAGAAAAGAATACCACCAATAGAGATGGTTGGTAGGAGAACAATACTTCATTAATTATATTTCAAGACAAAATTTGACCACTAAAGTAGCTATATTGTGGAATAAAGGGAGTTAGAAGGTACTCCTATAGATCAATTTCTACCCAAATTATATATCTATTGTTATTGTTTATAAAAGTCAAAGGATGTAATATACTTTTATTATTATAAAAAGATAGAAAACAAGTCACCGCCGAGATTTATTACAAATTAGTACCATATTAGCAAAAAGAGAAAAAACACCATTAGATTCGGTTGGATCGGTGAATCCAATATGATCGTGTTGTTCGATCATTGTAGTTGTGTACTCCCTCTGTCCCACAATATAAGGGATTTTGAGTTTTTGATTGCAACGTTTGACCACTCGTCTTATTCAATTTTTTTTGCAAATATAAAAAATGAAAAGTTGTGATTAAAGTACTGTAGATAATAAAGTAAGTCATAAATAAAATAAATAATAATTTCAAAAAAAATTGAATAAGACGAGTGATCAAACGTTGCAAGCAAAAACTCAAAATCCTTTATATTATGGGACGGAGGGAGTAGAAAAATAGTATTGTATTATAATAAAAAAAGCAAGGGTTTTACACCAAATTTGATTTTCTTCCCAAAGTTTCTTGCAATATTAATGTACTTATGAAAACAAAAAGGCAAAGAATTATATACCAAATCCCAATAGCTTCACTCAAAATTACACGGAAAAGTATTATAGCTTTGACTTAAAAAAAGGGGCAAGAAACTTTGACTTAACTGGGGGTAAGAATAACTAGAAAATTTGGACATGAAATCTCTTTATAACGATGAACTGTTCGTTGGTTCCTACCTTAATTTTGTTCTATTCAGCTCCCTAGCAGCCATCTGTCCCACCCTACGTTGCCTCAGACTCCATGCAAAGAATCGCCGCTGCAATTTCGCGTCTTCTAGCTTCTTGCTTCCTGCTGCCCCCTTCAGTTTTGACATTGAGGCGTATCTTCGACCTATAACTTTCAGATAATCAAACTATGTGGCTTCAGAGTTCTATTATTAGATTTGTAATTGACTGTACTTTATTAATATTGCACTTTTAAACATATCATTTTGATGCTATCTTTTAAAAAAATATATGTAAAAAGTATATCCATTGTCGATAGATAGTTATTCGTAAACGGGAGTAGTACTACGTAGTGAAAAGAACCGTTTAAAAAGACTTTATTTCTAACTACTCTCTCCATCTATTTTAGATAGGCATATTTCTAAATCTGAAAAATTTACTTTTGATAGACATATCTCAATCCAACCACCTATTCTCTTAATAATTTTCTCGGATTTAATGCGTTACACTCCATTCTTCCACACAAGATTGGCTACATAGACATCGACAAATGTAAATATCAATGAATCGCTTGTTTACGAGGAATAACTAGTAGCATGTTTAAATAGATAATAAGTAGAATTATTTATTCTTGATCAGTGTGTCAAGATGAAATATGGTTATCAAAAGTAGATGGAGGGAGTATAAACTTAAAAAGAAGTGATTGTTCGGACTACTATTTATTACCAATTCGACCATGCCAATGAGCAGTCCGATCCGGCTTTTGCCGCCTCCAGCACTACAGTGCACAGTAGCCACCACACTAATTTGGCAGAGAGCTGCTGAATTGCTGCTGATTGTTCAGAGCTGCAAAAATAATAATAATAATAATAAAATAAAAAACCGCAATGTTCCTGCAACTCCCAAGCGTCTGCATGCATTGCATGGCATTGATGAATGATGAATGGACAGATGCTGAGTCTGCCTTGTTCAACAGCTGGAGGAGTGTACCTTGGACCATTCTTCCAGTTTTCTTTCTTTCAAGCCTTCAACCACAACCGGCCATTATTTGCCAAAACTGGCAAAATCAAGCTTGCTACCTGCTTGTCTTTTAGGCCCTTCATCCAGACTTTTATGATAGTCTCATAGAAATGGCGAAAGATTATACTTCCTGTCTCAAAATATAAGCATTTATAGAGTTTAATGTATATATAAAAAATAGGTAGAAATGAAGAAGAGGTTGAAAAGATAAAGTAGGTGAAAAAAATTAAATGGAGAAAGGATTTTGTTGAGATGAGTGGTTATGCAGAGAAATAGATTTATTTTGTGACATATCTTGAGTCACAGTGGGAGTAACAAAGTTGTCTACCTCATCATGGATTTGATTGTGTACAGCTACAAGATCAGGAAATTGTTAGATTAGATCCTTGACTTGATCAGGGAGTCTAAGTGGAGAAATAAAAAATGTTTAGCATCTCAGTACAGGAAAAAAGAACCATTTTGACAGTAAACCTAGTCCTGGGGGGGGGGGGGGGGGGGGGAGCCGTGTTAACGTCATACGCTCCTGCAAATTGGTCACTAGAGCTAGTTATTTATCCTTTTATCGAGTAGTTTACTACTGGTTACTTGCGTAATCTTTTCTTTGACCGAACCAAATCTATCAGCGAGACATTTGTTCTTGCAGCTGACCATTAGCTTGGTCGGTCAAGAATGCTTGGAAATCTCTGAAAGACTGAAACGTTGATGAACAGGCATCGATCATGGCCAGCTTCACATTAGTTTTTCTAATCTCTTCGATGACACGGAGACGTTGTGTTTTCACGTATTCTTTTTTCAGCTGTCAGTTTATGCATGCTAGCTGTACGTGTGTAATGTGTTCGTCCAAAGAAATTAGCCAAGGGTCGTCAGAGAGAGAGAGAGAGAGAGAGAGAGAGAGAGAGCGTCAGCTGATCTAAGGTTAATTAGTGTATAGTTGCTTTAACCCAAAAGATGTGTGAAAGTTGTGAATTAGCTGCTGCTAGTGATCTAAGGACAGATTTACTTGCAGCTAGGATCAATTATCTAGAGAGCAACATGACTAATTCTTCTCTGACTTAGCAATAATTATGAGCATAAAAGCAACGAGAACATTTATTTTATCTGATGTCACCTTCACATTTTATTCACCTTATTGTGAACCCGTACATTGTGATCTAGTGATGCCTTTTTATTGAAACTGTCAACCAAGAATCCGGTCTAATTAGTTAATCATAGTTGATTTTGTGAAAAATGCTTTGTTAGTCATTGACATTTTGTAATTAATAAGGTAAGCCAGCTGATCATGATTTGATAGAATCTTATGTTCAAGTCTAGCATTTGAAATATTCAGTTACTTTTGATGGAATATATATATATATATATATACACCTCTTCTTTGTAGCAAGTACACTGTACGTAGACACCTACATAAGTAATACCTCACTGTACGTTCCGATGGTGATTGAGCTTTGAGATTAATTAGTTTCTGAAAATTAGCAGCAAGTACATGTTCAATAAGCCAGTTCAGTAGGTGTGGACGTAGTCTGAATCTTGGGTTTAACTTGAGGATTTGTTTCATTTTACAATAATTTGATACCAAAAGTCCGATCCTCAGTACTCGGCACCCTTTATTAATGTTGTTTCTTATATATAATTTTTTTGAGGTAACCATGCCATACAAAATTCAGAAAAAATATACTGAAACCTCTAATGAAATCACATATAAATAACATGATTTTACTGCACAAAATTTATAGTTACGTAGGATTAAAGCAAATTATCCCCTGCTAAGTCATAAATATTTCCTCCACGCTTGTGTTTGTACTTTGTACTGCGTTTCATAAAAAAAAAATCTCCGTCTCTCTGTAAACATCTTGGAGTACTGTACATGACAGGATATCAAACCCTTAATTAATTACCACAACCTTTTTCTTGTCATGTGCTGCGAAAATGTTTGTCATGTGTTACTCACAGAAAGAATTTAACCGTTTCTAAAATCTTTTGAGATTTCTTCTTGATGCTACGTGAGCATTGAGGTGGCCATTGTGATAGTTTCGTTTAACTGTTTTTTGGATGGTTTGGTTCAGCATTGAGGTGTGTAAAGGTCCTTTTTATTGGATTTGCAAAATGATAGTATTATTTTCCTCCAAGAATATCAATCTTCGACCTTCGGAGAGACATGGCAATTGGTAACATATTTTTCTACCCCAGTTTATTTTGTAAAAAAAAAAACTAACTGTAAACATCTGTATAACACCTTAAAACATAAGCCTAATACAACAGCCAGCCATGAACTGATACACAGTGAGACATAATCAGCCATTACAGTCAATTTGGAGCAGTATTTAACTAAGCAAAGCTACTAATAACATTAACCATCTCATTTCGAGGGTAATTAATTAAGTACAAAGCACAGAAGCACTGCATCTAATTCTGAAGCCAGCTGATAACGAACCAAAGAAATTTTTGCTACTACTACAGTATTCCTTTTTCTAACAAAGGTGAAAATATCACCTGAATTTCCCATCGTTTTCTCACTGGAAACTGGGAAAAAAAAGATGAAAAAAGAAGGTAAAAAAAAACAACAGAGAAGAGATACTATCAATTCTTCCCGGTAGTTAATTAATTTAATCAAGCTTAATTCTGCCATGATTAAATTAAATAGATTACAAGACGGCCAAATCCCTCATGTCGCCGGACTCGAGGAGCATCTTGAGCCAGAACTCCATGTCGTCGCTCCTCGCCGCCGCCGCCGACGACGTGCCGGCGATGGCCAGCTCCTCGTCCATGTCGCCGAGGCCGGCCATCATCCCGGTCACCTCCGTCGACGACCAGAAGCTCTCGTCCATGTCGGCCGCTGCCGTGGGCGCCGCCGCCGCCGCCGGCAGCTCGCCGCCCGAGCTGAAGCTCTCCTCCTTGACAGCGGCATGCTGCGTTTGCTGCTGCTGCCGCCGGTGGTCGCCGTCGGCCGACGACGGCGACGACTCGGTCACCGTGGAGCACGTCACGCCGCTACTGGTGTCGACGCTGACGGACGGCGTCGCCTCGCGCTTGACGGCGGCGGCGCTCTTTGCCGCCTTGGGCTGCTTGCGCGTATGCGGCCGGCGGCCACCGCCACCGCCGGCGGCGGCGAGCTTCCGTTCGTCGTCCAGCCTCTTCTTGAGGTGAGTGTGCCACACGTTCTTGATCTCGTTGTCAGTGCGACCCGGCATCTGGGCGGCGATGGCTGACCACCTGTTGGCAACAAATGACAAAAGCACCATGAGCACCAAGAACAAGAAGAGCTAGCTAAAGCATTGATCGATGCAATGCAATTGCAACCCAGATCATGTCACATGAAACAGCTAAAAACAAAAGAAGCAGAGAAGCTTTTGTAATAAACAAACTGTTAAACAAGTCTGTATAATCTGCAAGATTTTGATGCTGCAGCAAAAGATTTGATTCCAAATGCAACAGTTACAGGTAGATTGAGCATCCAGTGCATCATTGGAACACAACTTCTCCTCCTCTTTGTAATTACATAACCAATCAAATTAATTAAAGTAATCATGCTTTGGCATTGAATTCAGCAACTGGGGCAGGCCACTCATGTGCAAATAAACTATAGTATACTACGAAATTAAGGATCATGGATGCATATATGGCTTTGGGCAGTGGACACTAGTGCAGTACACAATTATCATCATGAATAGCTTAAGCTTAGCTAAGCACTGAGCCGAACAGTTTAGTGTGGTCCAGCTCGAGCAAGTGGTGATGCTCCAGCAGCAAAGCAGCCAGCAGCAGAGCAGCCATATCAATTGCAGGATTTGCATATGCATCAGCATGAGCATGAGGATGAGCAGGAGGCAGGCAGCCACCATTGGCAGCCATGAAAGGCCAAACGAGATGGAATCTGGAGCCCTGGATTTGGTTATTCGCAAATGGGGGATTAAACTAATGGCACAAGCTTTTGTCTTCTTTGGGGTATAAAGTTTATTTCCTCGAGGAGGAGGCTATCGCCGCCAATCAATGATAAACTGTACTCCTACCTGAAAGTTTGAAAAGCTGGTGCATATCTTTTCCACTACTATTCATCCACGACATCTCAATCAAATCACTACTTTTATTTTACAGTATTACTTACAAATATGCAGCGAAACTGCTTATAACACTCTAACCACAATGTTTTTTAATAAAAAAAATGTTTTACATCTCTGACTTCTACCATAAGAAACAAGACCATAAATTTATTTTCTAAAAGGAAGAAAAGAATAAAAAAAGAGAAAAAGAATAGGCCATAAGGTGATGGGACAGTTAAACACAATGGTTAGACACAAAAATCTTGTGAAGACAAAATTAATGTGAATTATCTGTTTATTACCACACAAACGCACAAACAAAGTGCAAAATGAAGTAAAAAAAAACTGAAAAGAGAAGAAGAAGAAGAAGAAGAAGAAGAAGAGTGGTTTAGACCTGAATGAAGTAAAAAAAAAACTGAAAATAAAGGAGAGTGGTTTAGACGGACCTGTTGCCGAGGGAGTTGTGGAGGCGGACGATGAGGTCCTCCTCGTCGGCGGTGAAGTTCCCCCGCTTGATGTCCGGCCGGAGGTAGTTGATCCACCGCAGCCTGCAGCTCTTCCCGCAGCGGAGAAGCCCTGCAACCAACCAACACCGATCTCATCTCATCATCATCATCAACCCAAGAACAACAGCAACGGCGGCGGCGGCGGCGGCGGAGGCTACTACTAACCGGCTTGCTTGGGGAGCGCGCGCCAGTTGGGGTGGCCGTGGCGGCGGATGTAGGCGACGAGGCGGTCGTCCTCCTCGGGGCTCCACGCCCCTCTCCTCAGCCCCTCCTTCTCGCAGCACGGCGCCCTCCCCATCGGCCCGGAAGATTGTGAGCGATACTCCTTCTCCTCGTCGTCGTCGGCGGCGGCGACAGCGAGAATTCCTCGGTGGTGGTGGTGGTGGTGGTGGTGGTGGTGGTGGCGCACGGGGGGTTCTTGGGGGGGACAAGGACGGCGAGGTTGGGGGCGGGGTGGCGCGTATTTATGGGCGCGGATCGGAACGGAGACGATGACGAGGAGGAGGAGGAGTTGGGCAACGTGCGGCAAATGGGGGTGAGACGCGACTGCGCGTTTCGTGTTTTTTTCTTCCTTCTTCTTTTTGGTGCCTCTTTTGGATCATTAGCTGATGAAGATGGGTAGCTCTCTCTCCCCGCTCTAAAATATAAACAATTTTACACTTAGTCTTCGAGATACTACTTTGACTAATAATATCTATAAAAGTACGATGTTTAAAATAAAAAAAGTTACATATGGAGCATGATAGTTGTTTAATGATAAATCTAGTAAATATCAATTTTACATGATTGATTTGTTTTTATTTTTTTTCTATTAATAATCAAAGTTAAAAAATATTTGGCTTGATATTATTTTAGAAGTGTTTATATTTTGGTACGGATTGAGAAGTAACTGGTAGAGGTGCTACTACTAGTAGGAGGGTGCAGTGTTGAATTCAAGGTTTCATCCTGAATTTTGTTCAAATCCATTTTGCTTTTGTTGTAATTTTTTTGGGGGGTTTTGTGGGGGAGGGAGGATGGTTCTAGGAAAAGGCCAAATGGGGAATCGAACAAATGGGGAGGGAGAGGGAAGAGATGGCAAGTGGCAAGAATTATGTGGTACTTTGTAGGACTAGAGTACATGGTTGTACCCAAGAAGGAATTTGCCTTTGGATGTTCTTTTTTTTTGTTTTTGATCTTTTTCAAAGCACATGATTCTGATGTGCTCTTTTCGTCCCATAAAAATAAACTACTACGGGATGTGATGCATCCCAGTGCTATAAATCTGAACATGATTTGTTTTTTAAGATAGAGAAGGTACTATAACGGTAACTAAAATAAAATAGATATAACCTAGTGCCATGAATCATGTCTAGATTCGTTATCCCTATCCAGATTCATATTAATAAGTGGTGTCTAATGTTGTATTAAGTTGCTATATTTGAGACGAATAGAGTATTTCATTTTAGGATATCCACCTAGAGAAATACTTATTCAAATTCATAGTAAAAAAAGAAAAGTCTTTGTGGAAAAGATGTAATGTCTTTCTAATAAGCACTACATTATCTTAAAATATAACAACTTTTAACTATGAATCTAGATAAACACTTGTCCAGATTCATAACCAGAAATACTTATATTTTAAAACGATGGGAGTATTTTTTTTCTAGTTTTGTAATTCCGAAAGAAAGATATGAATTTTCCAAGAACTATATCTACAGTTTTTCACGATTGTTGAGGCTTTAGGATGGTTAGTTTTATTTATGTGATGGTTTATTACGAGGAAAAGGAAGGATCCATATCTTCCACATGTTAGTGTCTTTAAAGTCACCTAACTTAAATCAGAGAGATCTAAATCATCATCCAATGCTGTGTGAATCAGTGAATCATACATATTTGGGGCTTCTTACAACGTAAGAATTTTATATAGTTTGGCGTAATTTCTTTAAAAGTGCTTTCACATTTCTCCACTATGAAGAAGGCTTTAATGCTTTATTGTAAATGGTTGATAAGCCGTCCTAGTGCGAGTTAGTGGTTAATATACCCGTCTCACGCTGCATCCTTTATAAAATTAGACGGTACGGTACTGTTCACACTTCACGTACAACAGTAAGATCTTGACGAAGTCACCCAATTACTTTCGGCAATAATAATTTAGTAGTTTTTTATCCATGTTACTGAGGCCATGTTGATTGCATTATTTAGTTTTAGTGTAACTATCATCAGTAACTTTGTCCATAAATCAAAGTGGTATAGTTTCACCACACGTATTCACATTGCTATGTGGTATTTAAGTAAAGTAAAATCTCTGACCTGGTAACACCTTATCTTTCTTTTATGAATTTTAATTCAGTGTATTAATTACTCCCAATAAAATTGCACTACATGTTTGGACACTTTCAAAATCACATATACTACGCATATATATGGGTAATTAACTCTCCAATAATTGACATCAAAGTGGTGAACACTTTTGCCATGTATAGTAAGATCCAGTCATCCAGCTAATTAACACCAGGCTGGGCTAATTGGGTGCCAGCCATGTCTATGTCAAAATCCAGGAAACCGAGACAGCAAAACACCATTAATATACTTAATGAATGATCCAATATACCTGATAGGCTGATATGAATTAATGTTTAATCTCTACTTCATCCGTTTTACAATGTAAGTCATTATAGCATTTCCCATATTCATATTAATGTTAATGAATATTAGAATGAATTATATTATGAAACGGAGGGATTAATTACTAGGTAAAATCGGAGTCCTCCATTCCCCATTTCCCCTCACCATCGGACTTGCCATAAAAAAACATACTGTAGTGCCTAAAAAACTAGCGTTTCCACGTGAAAAATTGACCCACCAGAAAAAAATTAAACCATATAAAATTATTCATCGATATTCTAGATCCCGTTTCAAGAAAAGTAAGGTAGTGGAACCTAGTTAAAAATATATTTTTTTTCTTTTTTGAAGAAGAAAAGAAGAGAAAATGTCATTGGAAATAAAAGTCAGTTAGATATACAGGTCATCATCTATGATTGGAACCAGTTTGCATTGCTAGTGATAGCAATGTCTTGTGGGGATATGCAAATTAATTAAAGATAGCACTGGCATTTGCTTCAGATCTTTTTCTTGGCTAAACGAATATCCTCCTCACATTTTTCAGAAAAAAAAAGGAAGCAAATCGAATATTCACGCACGATTCCTCCAAGCCATACATGCATGGATATATATTTTTAAAGGAAGAAAAAGGCGAAGAAAGATAACAAAAAGAATTTGTTTTCCATGATACCCGGATGCTAGCAGTAGTATACAACAACTTGGTCCTTTTGTGAGAGTCTGGCTGCAGACATGTTGTTACTGAATTAACAAATTAAATATTGTAAAAGGTACACCCATATGCACCTATTAAATTAGAATAATTGTACTTTTGGTTAAAGATAAGCAACTGCTTTCTGATCCATCCCTCGAACAGTGCCATATCCATTGTATTTTACACTTTCAATTTAAAATAGCATTGATTATCATGTAGTAGCTTACAGTGCTGGAGCATAATGCATACAATGCATCTACTTTATATCAGGCGTAATTAAAACCATAAACTATGATCATGCAAATCACATTTTGCAGAGGTGCATTTTTCTCTTTTCTTGGTTCACCTGGCCTCTTCATTCTTTTTTTGACAGATAGCAGTGCTGCCTATGCATGGAGGCCAGTGGCCAGTGGGCCTGAAGGCAGGCATGGATCGATGATGGACAACCAAGTAAAATCAAATTTGAAAACGAGGTTTTGCATGCTTAAGATCAGTCCAAACATATGAAAGTTCAAGATTCAAGAACATAAGGTGAAAAATTCTTTAAAGTTAATTAGTGCACCTTTTAGAGATTGAATAGTGTACAGTTAATCCACAAGAGCTAGCTACCATCTGACATGAGCTGCAGATTAATTAGCAGAGCCATTTGTTGGTTGGATCCAGACTCCAGAGCAGCCACTGAGCCAAATTAATTTAGATTGTAGAATTTAATAATAAAATTAACTTAAGGGGTTCTTTTGTTACTTTCGCCACCAAACTCTATTTTCTTGATTGATAAAGAGACATGTAAAAAGTTCACCAGAAATTATTCAAAAACAAACTTAAAAGTTCAAAACCGCTTTGGTTATAACCAAAGCTGAAATGGCATTATTGATATCTGCTGAAGTGAATTTGGCAAGCGTATACCTTTCATCTACTTTCTCTATTCCAAAATATAAACATTTTTAGGATTCAAATTTTATACACAATATAAACAGTTCTAGGACATTGATTCCAATGCACATGAATCCAAGCATTTCAAGTAAATCAAGTATTTAGGAGGGGACCTAAACAATTCAAAATTCAAATTTTGATCAAAAAGGTAAAAGAAAGAAAATATTTCCCCTTATTCTTAATATTTAACTGACTAAATAACTTATAAATACTTACATTTTAAGACCAAGTGAGTAACCACTACCTCTATGGCTCTATCTCAAAATATAGTGGGAGTACATTGGAGTACTAGCATATATAAATGATCCAATCTTCCACAGATGTACTACGGAGTACGTGCTATGATAGTCTGATGTGACCATCTGCCTTAATTATTCTAGGTCAATTGTGGCCTTTTGCCATTTCTTATAATGTGAACTCATGTTTCTTTCTCTTGTTCCTTTTTTCTTTCAGAGAACACACGAGGGTCTTATTGCCAAATAATGGAAGAGAACTACACCCCCAGTCTACTGCATATATCACAGATTCACACAATCAATAACTATGGTACACATATAAAGAAAACAAAAAAAAAAGACTATTCATATACTACCAACTTGACCAATGTTCTTGGATTAGTTATAAATAAAGAACCAGCTGTTTGAGCATGAGTGCTGCACATGCATACTGTAACAATAATCTGACCAAGCAGCATGAGTTCAACATGGACTGTGCTTTTAACCAAAACAAATATTAATTAATTGGTCGATGTTGCTGCTGGTAGTAATAAGTTGGAAGATGAGAGGAAACAGTGGACGAGATAGAGACCGGGAAAACTTTTTCCAAGCTAATTAAGCTCATGTAGAGTTAGCTGCTCGATCTCCTGCATATTGCAAGCTAGGGTTCAAAGATTGGGGGAGGAGTAGACGAGGGTTCACACTGTGCTATCTTTGACTGGAGGACATATATATATGTGCCACTGGGTCATGTCCTTTTTTCTTTCAAAGGATTGTACGGTATGGATTAACAGGGCAGCGTGCCAATTTTTCAACTCTTATAATAAGTCAATTAGTTCGTTTGTAGTCTCGAATAATTATCATAAATCATGCATGATTCATCAATTCATACGTTTAGCAATTAGCATGTAGGTATGACCAATTATTTCATCTTAGGAATAATTAGAAATATTCCTCCAATAAAATGGCTTGTGTCCCTCAATTCGAATCTCCTTGGTGAGAGGGAGGAATTTTAGGGTGCGAGAGGATATATAGCCGTGAGAGATTTTATTACGATTTTTCTGTACATTAGTCTACTAATTAAGATTTTTTATTAACAGTTTTATGATTTAGCTATATATAAGTGAAATATATTCT